TATGGTGGAGAGCAGCCGGGACGGCGCCCCCGGCCCGCCTCCCGCCTCGGCTGACGGGGGCTGTGAGGAAACTAGATTTGTGCCCCTTCCCTCGTGGGTGTTGTTTTGGGGGGGAGAACGGGAAGGACACGGAGTATAATTTGTACCCCTGACCTGGTGCGTGGGGGGTCAGAGAAAAGCAAGTATCTTTTGTAAACTGGGTGAATGTGAAGGAGTAGGCTGGGCGGGAGGGCGTCTCGGCCCCAGGGAAGTCTCTGCACGGAATTGCCCCCTTTCCCCTCCCCCAAACCTCCCACCACAGCGGAAGCGCCTAGGAGAGGACAGAACGCTTGGGATTGACAGGCCCACGGTTCCAATCTGCTCCCTGAGATGTTCCAAATGAGAACGTTCATTCCTGGGGGCGGGACCATGGGCTCGCACTGGGCCAATGAAGATTGGGCGGGAGTGAAGCTGACATTGTACGCATGGAATTGGAGGGAAGAGGAGTGTAAACACGGAAGTGGCCGCAGGGGTGGGGGATGTGCAGCGCCACTGCTGCAGCGGAAGGGCACGGACTTAAGTTACACAGAAAAAGCAGCTTTACTAGTAGACAGCGCAGTGAGGGCTCTAGATCGTTGGAACGCTGCTTGAATGCTCTCTGCTTTCTGTAGTAAATATGTGTATTCCGTCCTCGGGGTTTTGTCGCATCGAAGGGAATTCGAAAATAGTTTCCGAACAGTAACGTGAAAGATGTTACGCTCTTTTCCATCCATTGTTTTTAGGTAGGGGTCTTGAAGTTAGTTTGGTTGGCGAGACTTGATTCAGTTCAACTAGGGCGAAATTATGAACACATGTTTTGTGTATCTAAATTTAACAGAACTTTAAATAAAATCTGGAGTAATAGCCATATGTATTGTATAACACGTTATGGCAAACTGCCTTTATTTCATTGTAATATTACATGTTTCAGATGCCCAGAGAAAAAGCAGCGTACTGAGAAAAAAAATTTTTTGACAGTTGTTTCAGTGACTGAAAGGCAGAACACAATGATAGCTTCGTTCCTTTGTGTATGTTTGGTCCATTAGTAATGTGACATGAATTAGTGTAAAGTTTTAGGTTTATATTGTTGGTACTGAGAATTCTTGCATCAGTGATATTTGTATGTGTACATTTTAAAAGCTCTTGTATCCAGTGCTTAACACTTTTGAGGGAACTTTAGCTCCTGCAGTCAGAATTTTGAAAAATCCTATAAAAGTAAAGAGGACTTAACTTTGTCAGTGGGGCTTTTTTTTTTTTTTTTTTTCATGAACTTTTGGAATTATCAAGAAACAATATGACCTATAGATATTCTGGTTGGCGTGGGTATTATATAGACAGTCTTTAGTTTGAAAATACAAATTTAGTTTTCTTTTGACAAGGGTTTTTAATTTCTGATTATTGTTTTTGTTTTGTGGTGCTGAGGATCTGAACCCTGGGCCTCTGACAGCCTAAACAAGTGCTCTACCAGAGTCACACCCTCAGCTTTGACAGATTTTTAAAAAGCTAAATGCCATTTTCCAGCCTTACTCATTTTCTTTATGTTCTGTATACATATCTTAGAATTAAAGTTTCCTTTTTGGTCATAATGTTCTATAACGAATGTGTTTTGCGTATGATTATTTTTCAGTTTTTCCTCCATCGTGTTCATGTAATCTGAAGCTCCCCAAGGCTGTATTTTAGAAAGAAACTTGAGACAGGCTTGCCGATTTACCCAAGGTTTATTCAGTGAGTCAAAAGTTGAAGAGGAAAGACCGGCCTAGAAAATTAAAATTCATGGTTGTAAGTTGTTATGACTGTCAGTTTACAGTGGCATTAGGAGAATAATGTTTTTTAAATTTTGTGTTTATAAAATGGACACGGATACTTTTTGTCTCCTTGAGGGAAATTGTCGCGTTCATCAAGAGAATTCTTAACAAAGATTTTAGTTGAATTGAGACAGATGAAAATGGTACCAGAGGATATACTGCATTGCTTTTATTTCCCCCTTTTAGAACTTAAAGATTACATATGGGCACTCCTTTAACTATTAATATTTAATGGAGTCAAAGAAGTTTCAAGAATGAAATAGATGAACATTTATTGTAAATCACTGTCATTTTAGCGTATGAAATATTTTTGTGGTCAAGACTTGACATAGTTTAAAAGCCTTCATTGGGAACATGATGCTAGAGAATGAGCCTTGAGCCTGAAGGTCTGGAGTTTTGAGGGTCTGTATCTGGCTGTCACTAAAACTAGTGTGTACTGGGGACTTTACCTCTCTAGGGCTTCATTTCCTGTTAAGAGAACAAGGTTGACTAGGTGAGCTCTAAGAATTTTTAAAGCTCTAAAATTATGAGTAGCTCAGAAATATTTAATGGAAAGTTAAGGCTTCTTTTAACTTTTTGAGTTTTAAAAAGTACTTTATCATGTGAGTGAATATGTCTTTAAGGTTGGTAATTGAGAGGTTAATTTTAGCTAGTTTTTGAAAATGTAAATGTGTGCCTAATTGGAACTTGATGCTATGTATAGCTGTTGAGGAAGTCTTTGATCTCCTTAACTGAGTAATTTCAGCGCCGTTTTAGTAGATACAGAATAATGTAAGAAAAATAAATGCCCAACATTACTTTACTAATATTTATATGTAAGTATTCTGTGTACATAGTCTGGATTTTTGTCTGAGATTTTCAGTTTATAATCTGCCTTTTTACTCCTACATATGCATTCCTTGACTTTGTAATTTTTCTTAATTTGAGAAGAGGTCACCAGAACTTTTGCTGTATTAAGTGAAGGGGGGAGATTTTTCTGGAAATGTAACCAAAACATTTTCACTAACCCTTCCCCCAAATCTGTCAAAGTTTGTCAAAGTTCATCATGAAATTTGAAATGGAAACAATCTCATGTCATATAAATTGGAGTACCTAGTAAGCTTTGAGTATTTGGTATCCAAACTGCTAAGAAGCCCTTCAGATACCAGATTTTCAGGTTTGGAATACCAAATCTGAAAAGATCATCAAATTGGAAGAAAAAACAAAACACTTGAGCAGTATGTGAAAAGATTGGAAGCATGTGTTGAAATAAAGATAGAAGAGCATTAATTTTTGTTTTTTAAAAGATGTATTTGTGGGCCTGGGATAGCTCATTGGCGCTGTGCCTGCCTAGCAAGTGCAGGGTCCTGAGTTCCATCCCATTGCGTGTGGGGTATAATAATAAGAATAACTTATTTGTGCTCTGAGAGTATAATTATTGGTAGAACTACGTGCAGGAGGCCCTGGGTTCTGTCCCCAATCCTGGCGGGGGGGAAACTATTGAAAAAAGTTACTTTTCAGAAAAAATTACTCTTCAGAATTTCAGCATTAATACTAAAATTGATATGAGAACAAATTTGGAGCCGAGGATTTAGCTCAGTGGTTACACTGCCTGCCTTGCAAATATAAGGACCTGAGTTTTGATTCCTGGTACCAAAAAAACAAAAAAGCAAAAGCAAAAAACAAAGGAAGAACAAATTTGCTGGTCAGGGCAGCACACATCTGTAATCCCAGCACTTGGGAGGCTGAATTCAGCAAGAGGATCATCATGAGTTTGAGGCCAGCCTGCACTACAAAGTAAGACTGTCCGAAAAAAAAATAAAGCCAGAGTAACACTAGTATGCAAAATTTCAATAAGGATAATTCAACATAAAATGATTTCCTTTAGAAACAAATTTAGTTGGTAGAGAAGGGCAAGGAACATGGAATTCTTGGCGTTGTTTAAAATAACTCCTTGTATAACTCGTTTCAAAAGATGCAAAGAAATACAGACTTTTTTCATTAATCCTCTATATTTAAGTGGACAATGTTTTACTGAAAGAATCACAGATTTTCATGTGTACACTGTTTATGTGTAGAAGCTAAAACTTACAGAAACATGAGCATAGAATTTAGTTATTTATTACGTTTGATGACAAATTACAGCTGTGTTTCTCAAAAAACCAAGCTGATGTGGGCATTCTGGGAGTCCTACACATTTCAGATCTGGGAAGTCAAACTTTTCATAATATACAAGTATACAGTGAAGTTTTCTAG